GATAAAACTAGAAGATGCCCACAGGCCCCTCCCTACCTTTTGCAGGACTTATGAGAAAGTGTAACAGAGGCAGCAGCGGTCAACTGTGAAGAACTCTCAGGGACAGGAGACAGCACTGATTAGGAGGGACCATGGAATACTCAAGATAATTATCAGTGACAGACTCCAGGGCATGGCAGCTGCTGTGCAGAGACAGCCTGGTTTTCCCTAAACCGGGACAATCAGAATTCCATAAACCTGAACCCCACTGCTGAGGAGTCCCCAGTTCCAGCCCCAACAGACCATGAGGGTAAACCGTACTTGCCTGTGGGAAAATCTTATGTAAGGCAAGGCAAGTAGGCAAGTTCTCCTTCCACATTTACCTCTGTCCATTTCAACACATCCAGGCTTAGCCATAGCTCGAATTGTTTCCTTTGTTTCTTTCAGCTGTTGGGGTGGGGGGAGCACACATGTCAAGACCTCGCAAAGTGGCTTTATTTCATCCTGGGTATAGAAAGTGATCTTCCCCCCCCCCCCTTAATGATAGGGATCAGTCATGTAAGCCAAGCACCCCTACCACTGAATTATCACCCTAGCCTGGAAAGTGATCTTCAGCTCTGCTGGGGCTGGGGGCATGACTCTGTTATGAGCATGGACAGATCCACCCAAATGAAACCCATTAAACTGCATAACCAATATAGAGAGAAGGGCCAGAAATCTAAATACTCCCAGCATGAAAACATAGAGACCTTTGGGTCCTCCTCTCCCAGCAGGCTATCCATCCCCTATACTCCAAGCCTCTTTCTCTGGCTTTGTACCTAAAACCTCAGCCAAAAGCAGTGATGCACACCTGAAATGCCAACACCCTGGTAAGCTGACACAGGAGGATTGTAAGTTCAAGCCCAGCCCCAGCAGTTGAGTGAGACCTTGTCTAAAAAAAAAAAGAAAAAGAAAAACAATCTAGAGATGTAGGTCAGTGTGAAGGCCCTGGGTTTCATCCCCAGTACCACAAAACACTAGAAACTAATGAAGGCCTCTAAGTAGGGCATAGCTGGGTTCTGTGAACCAGCCTCATTGATGGCTTGATTAAAGCAGCTCCCAACACCTGTGTCAACATTAAGGCGCAGAGGTTGGCTCCGCACACTGCCCAAGGTGGGAGCACGCAGCAGCCCAGCTACAGCATGCCTGGCCTGCACCCCACCACCATGCAGGACAGCAAAGCAAGCCTCAGCCTAGAGGTGGTCCTCATGGGAGAGGCACATAGGGGACCTCAACCCAGGACCATTGCAGAGCAACGGCCCCATGACCTGGGCCCCGAGCCATGCCCTGACTCAGGAAACTAACTGACAGCAGAGCTGGATGCTGTCAACTCCAGTAGCACCTAGGCGTCGGTAACCTCCCTGACAGGTGCTGTTAAAAGATTTGCTCAATTCCTAGCCAGAAGCAAGTGTCAAAGGGGAATGAGTAGCTGAAAAGAGCTGTACTCTTTTTTGCGTGTCTGGGAGGCAGCAGATGAGATGACACAAGGGCTGGAAAAGAGCTGGCATGCTGCAGGGAGAGGACACTTATAAGCCCCCAGTGGGAGGCAACCTGGGACCTCTAAAGACAAGGAGAGACATGCGTACACTCATCCATTGCAGAGTTCACAGAGCCCACTTGGACATCCAGCCAGAAACTATGTTCATGTCGTAAGTTTCCTCCACCCAGCTCATGCCCTGTCCCTCTGAAGTCTCCTTCACCTAGGTTTTGTTTTTTTGTCCTCCATGTGGATGTGGAAGAAGGAACCCAATGACAGGAGGGGAACAGAGCCAGAACATCTCGAGAACCACAGCCTCCCCACTCCCAGCCCAGGCTAAGAACAATCCTATCAGTGCCTCAGCAAAGCTGAGGCTGGGGTCAAGCCCATGCACACCCCAGCTCCCAAGCAGGCCCCCCCACAGGCCCGATGAGGAGTCCCCTGCCAAGACAATGCACAGTCCTGCCTCCACAGCAGGGTCCCTATAGCCAGCAAGTTTAGCATCACATATGACCAGCATCACAAAAAGAGCTGAGAGTTGGATCCTTTTCATTCAGGCTTTATTTACAGCAAGGTACATAGTATGTGGTCATGTTGCAACTACTAACAATAAAGATAAAGCAACAAAGTAGGAGTGGGGGAGCAAGCATCCTAAAGGGAAAAGAAAGCCCAGGTCTATTTAGCCACTCACCTAGATCCCAAGGCAGCACTCACTGCCTCGGACAGTCACACAGCTGGGCTATCACACCCGCACCTGGGACAAAGGGGGCAGCAGAAGCCCTGAGGCAGAAAGGTTCCAGATGTGTCCCAGCCGCAACTTCACCCACCTGGTTTCGTCTGGCACCCCAGATTTTTCTTCACTCTAAGGGCCAGGACGGCTATCAAGTCAGCTGCCCCTGACTGTACCCCAGGACCAGCCCTAGCTTCCTGCCTGCACCAGCCTGTTCCTGGAGCTGGGAACCCTGACAGGCACATGGCTCCTAGGTTACGAAGAACAGCTCCCCGTGAAAGCCTACTTCCCTCTGACGGTTTCAGGCGCTGGCTCAAGTCAACGGTGCTAAATCAAGGAAGGTGCACAAGGGCAGGAAGGGGGCTCATGCACAAGGAGGCTTAGGTCTCTGCACTTTCCAACTGTTTGGGGGTTCCAGATGCCTCCGCCTGACCCGGTGGCCTCCAGAACCTCAAGTCCACCCTGGGGATGTTGACAAGGATCCAATTCCCAGGGCGAGAAAGGCAGGAGCCCACTTCCTGCACCTGCACACTGGAGACTCCTCCCTTTGCCTGCTTCTCTGCCCTGTCCACTCCAAAGGATGCTGAGACCACACCGCTTGCTCCCTTTCTCAGATTCCTGTCTCTGCTCATCCTAGTCTCGGCTGCCCAAGAGAAAGAAACTCAGGCCAGCAGAAGGGGCATCAGCATCACAAAGTGAGGGCAGGCCTCCCGTGACCCTAGCACGGATGTCTGCTCCTCAGACAGCTGGTCCTGGAGGGGAAAGCCAGTGGGCAGCTCTAAAGCCAAGGGACTCGTCCGCCCTGCACTGCAGCAGGAATCTCCTTCCCGCATGGCAGTGCCTCAAGGGCAAACGTCACGGCTTCCGTCTCACCTTACCTTCTAGCGGCATCAAGATCCAAAGAACCATTAAGACCCCTACCACCATCTCTACTAGAAAAAGCTCAAATGCAGATATACAAGTGGCTAAAACGCTGGGTTCCCACAGAGGGCAGAGCCTCCACCACCTCCTTCCCTTCCCCAGACAGTGTCACAGCGCCCAGCCGAGCCACCAGGAACTAGTGGTCCTTTCACAAGGCAGCAGGGAGAGGGCTGCCTGAGGGGTGTATGCCGAGCGGACACAGGCTCCTCGGGGTCGGGGGGCTTGGTCCCAACACCACAGGTAGATAAATGAGGAAGCGGTTACACGAACAAAGGCTCAGAGATGAGAACAAACCCTCTTCCAAGGCAGTGGGACAGACAGCCAAGGCACTAAATGGTTTGGCACCTGGGAGCTTCAAGTAAAGTTGAGCATGCGACCCACTAAAGGCCAAGGCGCTTCCAGACTGAGGGCGCCCCCAGCACAGAGAGCCCAGCAGGGCCAAGGCCCTGTGTCTTCAGGGTCCCAATCCAGGCCTGCCTCCCCCTTAATCTCAGAACCACACACAGCATGACAGGAAGCAGACTAGCTGCTGGGTCATGGTGAGCACCAGGCTGCCATCCTGGCAGGAGCCTGCCCGTGGCACTGATCCCGTCCCTGGGACCCACGGCACAGCCTCCTGCACGGCTCGGCGTGGCAAAGCTCTAGATGAGGGCTAGAATGACTTTATTGAAATAGCAAAACAGATCCAGAGACAAAATGAATCCAGAAAAAAGGAATCAAACTGGATGGCGCACTGAGTCTGAAAGCGAGGCTCCGGGCAGCGGACAAGACTGGAGTCACCGCAAACTGTGCCTCGGAGGGGCACCAGAGCCATGCGGGGAGAAGGCTGTCCAGACGGCGTCAGGTGACCACAGCCACGGGGAGTGACAGGGCCATGCACTGTCACACACAGGCATACACCACTGACATGACCCCCTCTGGCTCTGGCTCTTCTGTGGCTAGAAATTAAGACTTAGGACTGTACCATCAGAGCTCCCCTGCCTCTATCTCCCCCAGTCCCTCCACCCCTCCTAGTAGAGGGTCAGGAAGAGGAAGCTCTCCAGAGAGTTGGAAGTCTCCACCCCAGATCCTCAAATGTTTTCCTCCTAAGACTCATGCTTCCAAACACTTTTATGTAGGTTTTCTTTTCTCATACCCCCTCCCCCGGCACCTGGCAGTCACCATATGGACATGGTAACGTTATTTAGTCAATCACCAGCCCTGTGGTGACTTGCGAATCCCTAGTGAAAGGTACTATGAACCCCAGGTCACGGGCAATCAGAGCTCCTGTGTCACCCTTGAGCAGCTGCTGGCAGTCAGGGCAGTCATTTAGCAGATGTCCCCACCTACTCAAGAGTCTGCTCTGTGCTGCGCAAGACAGGGCAATGCCCAAGGGCTCTGAGCAGTGACCTCCCTGGGAGGACATTCGAGCAGGCCCGGCTAGAGAGGTGGAGCGAAGAGGGAGCCACAGAGCTGTCCAAGCAGCCAGGCGTGGGCAGCGGAGCAGGGCAGGGAGGGATGCAGAAGACCTGCTCTCCTCGGTGGGCTGCTTCCCTGAGTTTGAATTTTGAGTTGAGCTCTTAAACTTCAACTCGAAAAAAGACAAGAGTGTCCCTCATCAACATATCAAGCACCAACTGCGAGGAGGTGCCATGGCACAGGGAGGCAGCTGGGCGTTTCCAGCCCACAGCCATGGTGTCTACCTTGTGCCCACCCCCAGACACCTCACCAGGTCCCCTCCACATCACTCTTGCACCAGGCCCCAAACACATGATCGCAGGCCTGGCAAAATACTTACGGCAAACAGCTTTACAGTATTTGTACATTTACACAAAAATAGAACCTTTTATATATATATCTATATATATATATATCTATATATAATATGTATTTATAACTGGTTACATGTTGGACTCATAATTAGGCATCACCAGTAGTTGTTGGCACAGTTTGTCACTTAAGATCAAGATCAAGTTCTGTTTGCTTTCGCAGTTCTGTAGTACAAAAAGGAATAAAGTAAAGAAAAGAACCCAAAGGCGTGGCCTCTCCACAGTGTCTTCTTAAATACAGCAACGTCCTGGGAAAGGGTATGTACAGGCGCGCGGAGCTCCCCAGAGCCGGCGGGGTCAATGCGGCCTGCTGCTGGACTCTGACGTCTGCCTCTTGCGTGAAGGCGTGTAGCCATTCAGACAGCCGTTGGTCTGCCGCTTGGACGGCCCGCCATTGAGGATGTCATGGATGTGCTGCACGATGAGGTTGATGGCCACTGTGGGTGGAGAGCAGCAGTGAGGGCAGGGGCGAGACGGGAGGGCACAGGGCATGGGCAGGGAGTGGGCAGAGGGCCTGTGCCCGTGGACAGACATCCAGGACCCAGACAGCAACCACACAAGGACAAGTCACTTGGCGCCCTGGGCCCCAGACCCAGCCAAGGTGAGAGCCACAGCATCCATCCCCACACGGTGCATCCCCTCCAACAGCGGGGCACACCTGTCGCACATTTTGACCACCCAATCACTCCTAACATTACCAAGAATAGAATAAATACCAAAGGCTGCAAGATGGGACACAGCAGGACACCAGACCATGGCTGTCCACGCTGTACGAGCTGAATCCAGCCATGGAAACAGGGTGAAACTATGTGGAGGACTCAGCCACCTAACAAGCAGGCTGGACACTTAAAACCTCAGTGCCAGCAAGGGAGACGGAGACAGCTCAGCAGCACAGCACCTGCCTGGCAAGCGCAAGGGCCTGAGTTCAATTTCCAGTACACACAAAAGAAAAATTCTTTAAAAATACACCAATGCCATGCAAACCAAGAATGGGTGGAATGAAAGTTCAGGTTAAAGCAAAATATATCATATCACTGGCATCAACAGGGTTTGATGCAGTTTTGTTGGTTGGGTTTGGTCTGGCTTGGTTTTGGTGTTTCTGAGCCAGGGTCTCCCTATGTATTTCATGCTGGGCTTGAACTCACTGCATGCCCCAGCCTGGCATAGAGCTCACAGTGATCCTCCTGCCTCAACTTCCCAAGTGCTGGGACTACAGGCGTGCTCACCATACCAGCTGCACTGTGGTTTTGAATGAGAATGTCCCTGTTCTTTTAAAAATATGCAGCAAAATATTAATCACTTCTGATGAACCTCCGAACAGCTCAGCAAAAACTTACTTTTTGTTTCTTTGTACCCTGGGGATTGGACCTACTAAAGGCCTCTGACCTAAGCTACATCCCCAGCCCTTCTTATTTTTGAGACAGGGCCTCGCTAGGTTGCTAGGTTTAGCAAGCTGGGCTCCAACTGTCCATCCTCCTGCTTCAGCCTCCTGCGGCACGTGCACCACCGCTCCAGGCTGAAAGAGACTTTTTACAGAAGGAGAAATGGAACCAATTATGAAGAGATGGTGAAGACATACTGTGGCAGTACTGACCTGCCAGGTATACAGTCACACTTCCTAGGAACCCAAGACACATAACTGAACACAGTACTACAGCCAACCAGATCCTTTCCAAAGGAGACAGGATGGCCAACTGTAACCAAATGAGAGGAAACAGGAAGGGCACTTTGGCTGGAAGGTGGTCTCAGACCCCACTACCCAAGTGTCACACCAGGTAGTGACAGCAAAGGGCAGCCTAGTGCCCTCTATGGGAGGCAGGGAGAGCACACGTTTCCCGACCTGCCCCTGCACACCTCTGTGCACCCAGGGGCCTGTCCCCAAGGGCAGCCACATGGAAAGAAGTGCTCAGAGTCACACAGCTGGGTCACCACAACCTGCCTAAAACTTGGACGGCCACAGGAGGAAGCAACCTCCCCCCAGAAGACTCACCGAGATTATCTGCACCTCTAGGAATGATGACATCCGCGTACTTCTTTGTCTAAGGCGAAAGACATGAAAAGTGAATGAATACGGGAGTTCACAGGCCCTGACCCTGTCTGGCTCCCAGGGAAAGTGGGGGAGGCTACCCTGCCTCTGGAGCAGCTCGAGACAGACACACAGAGACAGAGGGAAGAAAAAAGGGAAACAAAGGAAGGGAAAGAGAAAAAGAGAGGCAAGAAGATGACAAATGTGCTTGATATGAGGGGGAGCTTTCTGAGAGGAATTAATGCCTATGTGTTTCCCACTATAATCAATTTTAGAAAATTTAAAACATTCACTGCAGATTTCAATTGGATTTAAAAAATAACTAAAGTTAGTCCATGGTGTGGCCAAGCCAGGAAGGTCTGACAACTCGAGCTGACCACGTCCCAGGGCTATGCCCATGTCCACTTCTACCCAGCCCCAGCCCGTTCCCATCCTTCCCGGGACGCAGCTTAGCTGGGCTGGCCCTGCTTCTCAGCCAGTACCATCCGAGAAGATGGCATCTATCTGCCATCTGCGACAATTAATCTAGGCCAGGGTGGAAGTGAGGCCGCTATCCCAGGAAAGCACTAGGGGAAGGACCACCAGGGGGCAGCACCTCCCCACCATGCTGCACCTTCCCCACTTCTGCAGCAGGTGGGGCACCCGTCCTAGCTGCAGGGACCCCTCACTCATAAGGTCGGATGGCATGTCCCCATCCAGCAAGGATTGCAGAACCCAGCCTCAGGGAGGACTGCCCAGCCCCACAGGGCCCAGGAGAAGCAGGCAGGGGAGTGCTCACAGCCTTGAGCTGCCCAGGCCGCACCCTTCCTGGGCTTCAGGGCAATGGCTCCAAGAGAGGGAGGGTAGGTTCAAGACTCCGTGCTCCCGCATGTTTGATTTCCTATTCCATATTCAGCAAGAACAAACCCAGAACACAACTCACTGGCAAGCAGAACTCCTCAAAGGCAGGCTTGACAAATGTGATGTACTGTGATAAGATCTGCTCCAGGTCCCGCCCTCGTTCGCTGATGTCCCTTAACACTGCAACAGAAGGAAAATCAAGACAACGTTGCAGGGGCCAGCAGCACACATCTGCCCTGCCCTTCACGACCAGGCTCTTGGTTACTCCGTATGAATCACAAACTAGACTCCTCAAAGGCTCTATCAGGAGCCAGGCAGCAGCAGATTAGGAGAGAAACACGACTGGGGTGGGAGAGGGGTGTTTGTTGTTGTAACCAAGGTGTTGCTCTGTGGTCCAAGTCAGATGAACTTGCTCTGTGTCTATAGAGCCCAGTTTGGCCTCAAACTTGAGATCTTCGTGCCTCAGCTTCCCAAGGGCTGGGATTATAAGCCCGCACCACCACATCACAATTTACATTTCTCAGTTGTAATACTGTGAAATTCCACTTCGAAATGGGTCTCTCAAAGGGCTGTCTGAGATCAACAGCTGTCTTATTTCAAGCACATTGGACACAATTTTACTGTGAACAACAAAAAAATCAGGATGGTCTGAGAGGCCCATTATGAGAGAGGGGCCTGGGCCCCCTCACGTATGAGAAAACCACAAACCAGGAAACAGGGTGCCAGGGCCGTGAAGGAGCCGAGGTGACCCCCATTCCCTACATCTCCCCTTCCCCTGATCAGTTTTATTCAGGGAATCTCACCAAACACTATTTTGTGGTCCTAGAGATTGAAACCTGCAGGGGCCTCACACTAAGCTACATCAGTAGACTATTTTTTTATTTTATTTTGAGACAAGCTCTAAGGAGCTGAACTACCCAAGCTGGATAAGAGCTCATAATCCCCTGCCTCAGTTTCCCTGAGCAGTGAGCAGGGGTCACAGTCCCACACAGTCTCTCCACAATGGCTTACAATGGCTCAACAACTCCCCCTCCACCATCTCAGATAAGCGACTCCAGCCGCAGGCGCAGAATAAGACGCACAGGAGCCCTGTGAATGTGCTTCAGGAAAGCCACATCTCTAAACAGCATGTGCAAACACACACAAGCATGTGCACAAGGTCTGGGAAGGAGGCAGTATCATGGCTATGATCCATGTACAGCGGACACCTGCAAGATCAGAAGGCCAGGGCTGGTGACAGCTTAGCAGACTAAGCACCTGCCTAGGCAAGCACAGACACTGGCTTCCATCCCCAGCACCACAGTCCGCAACGGCCCCAGCCCCAGGACACACTGAGCCAGCCACGGAGACCCAGCTTGGTCACGGCTCACCTATAATCCCAGCACTAGGGAGGCTGAAAACAGAAGGATCACTAGGAGTCTGAGCTGCATAGCTATACCAAACACATAAAAAAAAAAAAAGGACCAGACGGGTAGAAAACTATCAGGAAGCCACGTTCCAACACCACTGCCATCTGGCTTCAATACCAGCTCCTCATTTCCAAAGAGGTTTTCCACACAAACGTGGTGATAAAAAATGTCTGGTGTGTCCCTACATGTCAGGACTTGCCTTGCCACCTCCTCTGTGAGTGCCACTCAGCCCCAGGCCCCCCACAGGAAGTGGCTTTCTGGGCACTGCCACCAGGCCTTGTTCCTCTTGTCCCATGGTCTGTAAGTAAGGGGCGGAGCCAGGTAGAAGCCCCAAGGGGCAGCCACGTGGCTCATCCTGCATGCTTTGAGAGTTTGGCACACACAGCTAGTGACTGCAAGCAGCCAAAACACACAGCCAGTGCAGCCTGCTGTTCTTTACACATCTGCAGATAAAGCCAAGGAAATAGGAAACCAGACCAAAAGGCTATCAGCGCTGGAGGGAACAGGCACACACAGGCCCAGGAAGCTCCTACTCCTGTGCCAGAGCCGGTTCTACAAGGTATGCTTCCCACCCCGCTGCAGGTGGTGCTGCTCTGGGGAGACTGTCGCTCCCTCAGCGGTGCTGTAGCCAGAACCACCTCCTCATGCAGCCCTTGTGCTGGCAGCACCCCAGGCTTCTGGCTCCCTGGTCTTGCAGACCTGGAGAGAAGCAGTGGGAAGTGCGGGAAGCTCTGCAGCCCACATGCTGCTCCTCGCTCTTCCGGTCAGTGGGTGTGGGCCTGGAGCAGCACTTAACCTGCTCAGAACCCTGAGCAGGTGCCTGCTATCCCTGTGGCTCTACACGAGGTGCTGGTCCTTTCCACATCTCCATTCCCCCTGCTCTGTCACAAAGGCAGTGGAGACACCCTCCTATAAGCTGCTGGTAGGAGGAACCTGAGCTCCCCAGCATGACCCCAGAAGACAGGTGTCTCCTGAGAGTGCAGACCAGCCTGGTAGGGAAAGACCCCAAACTCAGGCATACTACCAGCCAAACCTGATGAGAGGGAGCCACCAGAGGACGAGGATCACAAACACAGGCAAAGACAGTGCAGGGGACCAACAAGAACAAGTCAGCCAGACACCAGGAACAAGCCCTCAGAGGGCACTAACCACTCTGCTTCCTAAGGGGTCACCTTGAGCAGAGAGTGACCGTCCCTGATCCAAGGAAAACCTGGGACAGGTTCTCAGGCACAGCCAGCAGACAGCCAAGTCAAGTTCTTGGCACACATAGGAAGATCCAGGGACCCAGAACCGGCCCCATCCTCACTCTGAGCACAGCACCTTTGCAGAGCCAGCACAGGCCCTTTGGAAGGAGATAGAGAAGGTGAGGAAGCTATGTGCCCACACACACACTGCACCAGGAGTGTTCTTTGTGGACCCCCTAAAGCCAAGAGCAGATTTAGAAGAACCTACAGTAAGGACAGTTCCGCCACGCATTACCCATAAGAAAAGACTGAACAGCACTAAGGCCCACTGCAGCCCAAGCCTGATATAAGCAAGCCATGGAGCAATGTAGGGTGCCGTAGCCCTAAATGCCCGTCTCCTTCCAGTCTGCGCTCACATTCCAGAGGAAGAGCATACAAAGGGAAGACTGAGAGACAAGGGGTTCCAGTGGGAAGATGTGCCTCCTCAGGGCCTGAAATGCGCTTTTCAGGTGTGGCAGAGACAGCATAACGCTGGCACTTGCTGGAGTCTCCAGGACACGCTTGGGCCTACAGCTGCTCCTGATTATTCACCCTGCTCACCCGAACATTCCTACCGCACCCAGCTCATGCCACACATGGCAGTGAGACCCTGTACACCCTGTCCTAAATATAAAAGAAAAAAAACAGCAGATGAGCCAGGAAAGCAGCAGGCAGCATGGGCAGGAACTGGAACAGCCCCAAAGAAACCCCTACATAGCAGGCCATTTCCCATCACCTCAAGGGTCTATCCCATCCAACAAAGGAGAAACGCTGTTCTGTCTAACCCATACATACTACAATCACCTGTTTCAACTAGATGCGGTGACTCACTTGCTATCTAGGGACTCTGCTCCTACCCCAGCCCCGGCTAACTCCCCAGGCATCTTTGCAGCATTTCCTGCAAGGTGTCCTCCAGCCTTGCCTCATCCCTGAAACTGAGGCTCACCAGCTCCTGAGAACCTAACAAGACCAGCCCTACTCTAAGGCACCATCCAGTTCCACTATGGACTCAGAGAAACAGACACCAGCCTCCAGAGCAGAAGCAGATATCTGATCTATCACACAGGTATTTGTCAACTAACATGTCACCAGGCACTGGCCCTTCCATGCCTTTAATCTCTGAAACTCTTCTCCAAGTACAAACAGGAGATCATCCAATAGGACAACCAGGTACCAAGAGGCTACGACAGTTTCCCCCAGGCTGCACTGGGGGTAAATGGTAAAACTGAGATCCCAGTCATGTTCACCTGAGTCCAAAATTTATTCTGTAAAAGCACCATGCATGTCCCTAACTTGGCAACTAATGGACACCAAGCAACCACAGCAGGGAAGAACTAGGGCCTTGTGAATAAGGGGACAAGCCAGGTTCTGGGGTACGAGCCTGGTGGGGAAAGGGGGTGGCGGCTGGCTCAGGCTTCAATCATTTACAAAAAACAGGCAACTCTACATAGCCACAGTTACAGGGCTAAAGGCAGGCCTCTCTCATGGTCTCCAACAGAGATCCCAGCCAAGGGAAACCAACACCAGAGCCACCAATGACACTAAGCTGGCTGGAGGCTAAAATCCAGGCCACCCATCCCTGAACTTTCCTTCATTCTCCTCTCGCACAGTCCTCCTGTGTCCTGCGCCTTTCCCTCCTGGAGTGAAAGCGGCTTGAAGGGCAAAGCCCAGATGTGTCTGTCTGTCTCTGTATCCTTCTGGGCCCTTTAACCACTCCCACAGTCCCCAGCTAACGGGCCTATCTATGCCTTCAGCATCAAGAACACCCACAGGAGGCCTGCCGGGGGACCCCACTACAGACCAAATGTAGATATGCAGCTGCCCCGCACACAGGCCCAGGGGCCCCTATCACCAGATAAACCATGATTGGTTCCAAAAATTAAGGGATCTCACTTGGATGCCTGGTGGAAAAACTGTGAGGAACTAGGCATGTAAGTAAACTTTTCCTAGTGAAACCAGACCTTCCAGTTCTCAGTTCATCTCAGTGACTGACCTCACAAGCCTTTCCTTATCCAAAACAGTTAAGTGACTAATCCCTTCTCAGATGTCATCAAACATTTGGGTAGCAGGATATCCTGGAGCTGAGCTAACACAGCCAGGCTGGGCCACGTAGCCACCCAGCTGCCAGACTCAGGGAGCCCAGGGTCTGTCATGGGCTCTCTCCTCCCCTGGCCCTGAGCAAGGCACTAACAGGGCCACAGGCAGCTTTCAGAACACACCTCTTCGGGACAGCCGGGTGTCCGCATCTGTATCCACAAAGAGCTTCATCTGGAACAGGTCTCGGACCTCCTGGGAGTAGAAGGCCAGGATCCCCTCGAAGAGCACCACGTCTGCAGGGTAGACAGTGACCGTCTCCTCTTTCCTGAAAAGCACAGAGCAGAGCATGGGCCAGGCCCACAGGGGGAGGCCAGCAAGGGGCTGCCCATCTGTGGGGCCAGCATGGGCTGAGAGAGCTAAGCAAACAGCCTCCTAGAGCCTCTGCCGCCACCACAGGGCCAGATGGGATGGTGGGACAAAGGTCTCAGCGGTCTGAACTTTTGCCATCAAGCAAAAATTGAAGGCAAATGCCAGGTCCTTGGAATAAAACAACCTGCTACAGAATGGAGAACAAAGACAGACAAGAAAAAAAATGTGCAGTCACAGTTTTCTCTTATGTGCTCACCCCGCCCCCAGACCTGAGGCCAAGGAAAGGAGGGGGCGTGCCTAGAAAGGAGGCAATAGGGAAAAAAGCACATGCATGTCAGAGACCAGTCCTGAGCTATCTGCCATGGCTCCTACACAGCCAGCACATAGCTGGAGACAAGACCCGGCTCCTATGGATCTACATCCTTAAGGAGATGGCAGGAAAATGCGTTTCCTCATTTCCCCTCCATAAAGGGCCACGAAGCCTATGGAGGAGACCCAGGTGAAAACCACTTATCAAAAGCCGGAGGAGAACTTGGCCCAAGGGGATAGGAGAAGGGTGTCTCTCACAAACAGCCTGCTTAGATCCACCCGAGTTCCACTGCCCCCGTATGCCTCGGATCCCATCCTGCAACCTCCTTACAGTCCCCTACTGCCTCTGACTCCAAATTCAGTAACAAAGCAGACTACTGCCATGTACACCCTCACTCACAGCGGACCCCACCATCTGTGAATGAAACAAATAAAACAGAACGTCTCCCAGGAGCAGCGTCTGGCTCATCAGCTCAGGCCCTTGGGCTCACAGCTAAGTCCTCCAGAACTGCTGGGGCACAACACGGAGTGTGCACAACAGCAAGGCAAAGGGACCTGGCTGGGACATGGGGAGACTTCCTGAAACCATAGGCATCTTAGATGCCTATCAGGATTACCTGAAAGATTCTGATATTTATACCTGCATCCCACACCTCACCCTCACCTTGATTTAAAACCTCTGGGGCAGCACTAGAACTTCAGGGTTGTTAGTAAGCTCCCCAGGTATTTCTACTACACAGCTAGGGTTGAGAAAAACATTAGCCAAATGCCCACTGCCTTTAGCATTAGAGAGTGGAGAAAAGGAAGGCCAAGAGGAAGGGAAATCTTGAGCCTTTCTAGGAGCTGCTGAACAGCAGAAGAAGCAGGTGATGCATTTGTGGGATTCCTACGGGCTGATCTGAAAAACATCAACAGAGAGAACATCGCTAGGTTTACAAACTACGTGACATGCTTATCAGGACGCCTGACAGAACTAAAAATGAGTGAGTGCCTTTCCAGGAAGGCTTTGCTGTTGGTATCTAAAAAAGTTGCAATTATTCATTCCCCTCGTGGAGATCTAGGTGGGGAAAATATTCAAAACAACTCAGAGCTGGAAAAAAACACTTATTGAGCAACTAACTGCCAGCTCAGAAAGCAGTCATAATTGGTATAACACATCACTTAGGAGTTTAGAGTTGCTGGGAAGTCCCCAAGAAAGAAAGTAGAATTCATGAGTTGGAGTTCATTTCAGATAACCTAAGCCAGTGACAAGCAAGGAGAAGACAGAGCATGGCATGTGGGCAACTGGGTGACTTCTTAGTGTTCACCCAACAAGCCCCTGGATGTCACCAAATGCCTGTGTGGGCAGGAATCAGTTAATCCCCAACAGCTGGACACCTCTTGAGAGGTGCTATGGTCCACAGTGGTCGGAATGCTTCTCAGAAAACATGGGCTGTGGCCACTGAGGAATAAGGCCTTCAAATATAAAGTATGAGAAAAAGCAAGCAGAAAGGTGAAGCGTGTCACCCCTGTGAATGAACTCTACTGGGGCTCACGGCTGCTGTAAATGCATCAACTTGATGGAACTCATACTGAAGAAGGTGTTCAACCTCCTCCCCTCTCCCTGCCTTGACCCTGTAGCGGTCAGACCCTAACTCCTCCCTGCCAGCCTCTATTACCTTCTACCACCTGGGCTTTTTCGTCATTTATGGCACTATTGGTTTGCTCTGCTCCTGTGCCAGAACCATCTTTCCACTACTACGTCAAAGCCAACTGTGGTGCTCTGCTGCCAGCAAGATGGTCTGCTGGCCCTGACGTCCCCAGCCCTGGGTGACCTGATCCTGCCCATCTCCCTGCTTCCCACTTCTCACCCAGTGACCCCCATGCCACCCTACCATGCTTGGCCCAGGGCAGGCGGCCGTGCTTGTCCATGCCTCTCCCTAAAATCCCTCCCTATCCATCACCTTGGGAATCCCTTTCCCTAACATCTATCCTTTCCAACAGACAGCTCACACTAACCACCTCTGCTGAATACCCTGCCCACAGTACCCCTGTGCTTCCTCCCTCGTCCTTCAAAGGTCTTGCCTAAGTTGTCACAATGCACTGTGTAAGTCGCTCTCTGAAGTGGGGAATGTTAGACTGGAGTGTCTCGCTGAGTATGTTCAACAGCACCAACAACCTCCCTCTAAAACAGGAACTGCCATTAGCAGGATCCCAGCCCCCAGGCGGCTCCCAGTCACTTCACCAATGGGGACTCAGAAGTGGATGGTGAAGTCACATCCACACTGCTCAGGAGAGGGTAACAGTGAGACCAAGGCGCTCTGAGAGCATCCACTGGGACCCAGGGCCAGATGTGGCAGTCAGTCTCTTGCACCTCTCCATGAAACCCAGAGTCTGCTCCCGTGGCAGGCTGGAGACCTCAGGGAGCATCTGTCTTATTCCCTGGCTGCCACCCTCGAGGTCACCACTCTCCCTGCCCCAAACATGCCGGTACGTTCTATTCCTACACTGCCCCCAATGCCTGCTCAAGAGGGCATCTTGGTCTCTTGATCTGTGGTATCCCCACCTCTGCACCTCCCTGCAGCAGAATCTGACCCGGTGCACCCTTCATGAGACATCAGTGAGGGGCAGTCAGAGTGGAGAAGCCGTGCTCTCTGCATTACAAGGTGTCCTCCCTCCCCCTCCTCCACCTCTTCCTCCTCTTGCCCCTGCCCCTCCTGTTCCTGCCAGACCTCCCAACTCCCATTTTGGCCCATAAGCAAGAGCCAAGCCATGTGCACACGTGTCAGGGGCTTCCTGAGATGTGCGGTCCAGGAGACAGAGATGTTCTGTAACATCAGAAGCATCTAGTAAAACAGAGACATATGAAGCCTGGTTTCCTATTTTTAAAAAAAAAAAAAAAAATCAGCTCACGAGAAAATGCAGGTTGGAAAAAAGAATCAGGAAAGAATGAAAAGCAGATTTAAAAAACTCCTAAGGGGCCAGCCAGATAGCTTATCGGACTAAATTGCCTGCTTAGGCAGAATGCAGTGGCCAGGGTTCAATCCCTGGCCTGCTGTGCCAGCCCCGCCTCTGGGGTGCCCTGAGAGGGCAAATGACACTGGGTATGGTGGTGCACGCCTGTAATCCCAGTGTTTGAGAGGCTGAAACAGGAGGATCACTGAGTCTGATCTGTGTAGTGAGACCCTGTAGACTGAATACTAGATACGTAAGGGGAGGAGGGAAAAAAAAAAAGAACCTCTTACAACAAGCAGTCCACAGGTTAAACCATGGATAGGGCCACTATGAGCCAGAATATAAAGCAAACCACGGTTGTATAATGCACCATTTAGGAGCTTAGTGTGTGCCTGGAAAGTCCCAAGGGGTTTCATATTTAAACCAGGGCAAACAGATTGAGCAGAGGGCTCTGCCTGGCCCAATCAGGAGAACTGACCAGGAGCCCTTCCCAGAGGGATGAGCTCCAAGTCCAGCCACTGCCCCATTCCCAAGCAGGGTCACTAACCAAAGGCTTTTCTGAGAGGACCCTGTCTCTTGAGATGCTTTCTGGGGCTCTTGGTTGATTCTGAGAGCAGCACCTATGACCTCAAACCCTCACAGCTCTTTCCATGGTCCAATCCCAAGTAAGTCAGAGAGCAAAAGGAACAGTTTTCCTTGTTCTCAAGGAGGTGTGTCAGGATCAGTGTGCCAGGGCCGGGATGGAGCTCAGTGGCGCAGCGCTTGCCTAGAGCACACAAAAGCCCTGGGCTCAATCCCCAGTGCTACAAATGTGCTGCCCTCACCCAAGCCCCATTATGAATCCATCCTTCACAGAGCATTCCAGGAGACACCCACATCAACTCCCGCCGTGCAGCCCCAAGCACATGCTGCTACGCAGACCCTCCAAGGCAGCCCCGTGCACAGAAGTGGGGTACAGGGGGACCTGAGTGATGACCAGGGATGTCCTGGGTTGCATCACACAGCAAACCCCCACCCACAACAGTTCACTTACCTCGAATGGGAGACAAAGTCGTACACAGGGATTTGGACTGTTTTCCCTTCAGTGATTTCTTTCAGTGTTTTCAAGATGAGTTCATTGTCAAATGCATCTGAAAAAAAATCAACTTGCTAGAATGGTGCATAAACTCCTTTCTTCTACAATCATGCTTCTATTTCCTACATATGCACTGCATCCCAGAGAGCCATATGGCTCCACATTAGAGTTTAGGCCTACAATGCTCCCAGAAGGCCCACATTTGGAGGCAGGGCCCAGGGGCAAGGGCAGGTCACTAGGGGCATAACCTGGAAGAGTGCGTTCCTGCCCTGGCCCTGCTGCTCTCTGCCTCTGGCAGAGAGCCGTGAGCACTCTCCTCCGCTGGGCTCTCCTGCCATGCAGCTCGTTCTGCCTTGGAGCTGGCCAGCCATGGACTCAGCCCACCAAGCTGTGGGCCAAAATAAGCCTCTTGTTTTTTAAGTCATGGGTACTAGGTATTTTGTCCCTACAGGAAGGTGACTAACAGTCCAAAGCTCCCTGGGTCTATGGACAAGTTCTGACGAGTTGATTTCCTTTCTCTCCCTCTAATGGTTCATTCTCAGCCCAGACACCTCTCCTTCCTCTGACTTCAGCTGCTGTCCTTGGATTGGCAAATGGCAACCAGGAAGGCACCCAAGTGACTACGGGAGGACCACAGGGCCCATGTCAAGAGGGCTGGATTCCAATGTCCCAGGAGACCCACAGCAATAGAAGGAGCCACCTGCCAGACTGAGCTGTCAGCAAGGTTCCCTCAGGCAGTCAGTCATTCAAGAGCCCCCCATTCCCCTCTGAGCTGGCCAGAGTTGAACATGGGCCACGTGCCCACATGGGGGTCAAAAGGAGGGGTGACACAGGCCACAGCGTATCAGGAAGCAGAAGGATCAAGAATACTCATTCCCTCCTGGGGCTGGCCCATTGAGTCCCCAACTCGCACAGACAGACAGAACTACTGCTACTCTACTGGCCAACACACACACACACACACACACACACACACACACACACCCTGCAACTCCCCAACTTACCCGGGTGATCAAAGTTGAACTGGCCCTTCAGAGCCTTGGCCTTCTGCTCTGAGGTGAGTACGCGGTAGAAGCTATCCTGACTCAGGATGACCACCTGCTTCTGGTGATAGTCCACCTCGTTCTGCCCCAGGAGCTGTACAATCTTAGCACAAACGGAAGACTGCAAGGAGAGAAGTAAAAACCAGAGTATGAGAGAAGCTAAGTACACTGGTGGGTCACTAAGGGGACACGTACTTCCTACGAAGAGACTGTGGAGAAAGGAAATCAAGGGTTGTCTTGCACGATGGGTTAAAAGGCTGCAGGAGAACATGCCTACTGAGCGGAAGTGACAAGCCCTTCTCTGCCTCTCCTCAGCACAAGTCTCCACTCCTGGGCACCCACAGTGGAAAGGTCAAAGCAGTACTGCCTGCCTGTGCCTTGCAGCAGAATGTGGACAGACATGCTGCAGCTGCGCTGAGGGGCCAAGGGGGTCTCAGGACCATGGGGGGTCCAGGCACCATGGACATCCTCGGCCCCCACACAGCACTCTGTGGACATGCCCAGCCAGTGCCACTTGCTAGCAGCAAGGCCAACCTGGTAGCTGCCATCCTGCCTCTGTGGCTACTCTTGCTATCGCACAGCCATGGATGACTTCTGCACCAGGTGGCCTTTGTACAAATGTGTGCCAGCTGCCACACATGGAAAGCACAGGACACAGACACTGCCAATACCTAAAGCAGCACAGGGGGACTCCTGAACAAACTCAAGCCTAACACGCTCTGTTGTGTTGTTAGGGATATCTACAACTGCCCCTCTCTGTCCCCAATGGCATGTTGTATCTGTAAAAGGAAAAAATAATGAACTCCAAAAGAATGAGATGATAAAGGGATTATTTAGTAATTAACTTTTCATTTGATACAGATATTGATTCTAAAATAGCTGATAATCACACTAGCAGCTTCAATTGGAAGCTTTTTGTAAAACTTGGCCCAATTATAAAAGATGAAAAATTAGCACGTATAGAGCATTCTTGGCTCAAATTTTGTCGGGTTTTTTATTTTTATTTTTTTAATGTTTTATTTTTTTCCATAATTTTATTGAGAAACAAATAGCAATGAGACAATTTCAAATCAAATTGATAGGACAGTTTCAATAATTAACACAATGCATACATTCTTCCTAGTGGTTAATTGCTGTACAAGATTCGGACTTGATATCCTATTTACAAACACCATTAGAACAAATCCCTCTATTCATTAAGA